AGCAGAAAATTCAGCAAATACTAGAATTTATTTTTTAAAGATATCATTCCCATATCATGTGTTCATTTCTCCAGACAAAAATTCAGAAACAATCCAGCAGCATCCTAATGCTCTGGTATGAAACAAGCTTTCTAATGACTCAAGTAGTGACACAGAATCTCTTTGATCAACATTCTTGCTTTATAAAATGTCATAAATGCGCCCCCAAATGGAACACAGGCACAACGGAAGTTTATTATATGAGTACAAGGCTTAAGCGTCTGTCTCTTCACACAGAAAAAGTTAAAAGCCAAATGAGAAAGAGAGAAGATTCCACCACTAAAAAAATTCCCAGAGGCTACATGACATAGATATGCCATCTGATGCAACATATTATGGCAAACTCCTCATTCTTTCCTTCACATATCGTGTCAGAAATTTATTATATGAAATACTACAAAATGTGAAAACAACATGGAAAGCTAGGAACACTGCTAGCACAAAAGCTGCCTTCATTTGTTCATGGATAGCACAAGAAACCTGTCCTTCTTTCCTTCAATGTTACGAAAATAATTTAAAACGTTCCCAAAGAAAGATTCAAATACATGCGAATCTATTTTCCTGTCCCCATTCTTCTCTAACAGAGAAATATCCTGCCCTACCAAAGGCAGATGGCACTCAACCTACAACACCAATAGTAACAGATCATCAAAATGAGAGATGAAGTGACTTTTTAATGGTATTTTGAAGTTATGAGGCGATCAGCTACTTGTCCAAAATTGCTCTAATACATACAAAACCACTCCAGTTTATATTGGTTAGATGCATGATGCCCTCTTCACAGTTGCTATGACAGCAAAAGGCCTTTGAGAGTATATACCAAAATCCAAATTAAAACATGATTATGGAAAAGTGTAGAGTTATATATACACTAAGTAATAATACAATGGAGATCTTAGTACTAAGTAATTAGTACAAGATTGAAACTATTACAGCATAACTAACATTTTGATGTGAATTGTAGTGGTTCTTTTTTCTTTATGAAATCCTCAACTTTGGATGAAAAGTTAAATAATCTTATGCTTGTAACATTGACATCCTAAATGGCAATTAATACTGATAGAATTTTTACTTTTCTCTTTTTATTTTTAATACTTTAAGCTTTCTAAAGGATAGAATGTTAATAATTTTAATCATATTATATAAACATTACTGCTTTGAAATAATACAATGTATCAAGAATTATAATATTACAATAAAAGGGGGAAAAACATGTAGAGCTGCCTGCACTAACATGGTGAAGCTTAGAGAGACAGACTAACACATGACTAACTGCAAGGAGCTGGGATTGTTCCTACTGAGCAAAGGCAGTGGGCATGGCCAAAGGATGAAAGGAACCATTCATCTGGCATTCTGTTTGGGGGGGTGTGTGTGAAAGAATATTTCCCAGAAAGGTTATTATGTTACTTTATAAAATATATTACTTGGTTTGTTTATAAAGATATGCTTGGTGTATAAAATGAAAAGTATTCTTTACTCATACAATGAGAATATGTTTATTGCTTAAATGTATTTTAAAATGTTTTAACTTTTGTTAGAAATAGAATTACAAGCTGTTGAACCTGGAGTTACACATCATCTCTACTTTCACCTGATTTAGGAGAAGGAAGCAGGTGAAAAGTTAATGATGAAAACAGAAGAAACCATTAAGATAAGACTGTACTAAAGTGCAGAATGTTAAGTATCTTTAACTGTTGCAGAAAGAGCTACATTCCAGGAAAAAAATAGGCTTTAGGCTCTAAATACACATTTTGCCACACATGTTTGGAAAATGGAGTATTATCACTATCAACAATTTCTACATTATTCTGACTCTTTATTGTTAAAATTCTTTAATTTTCAGTGACTTCTGAAAGTTAAAGATTGCCTGCATTGGGTCAAGCTTGCCTAAACTTTCACATGTTAATTCATTTCTTGACTTGATGTAAATACTTCCAGAGTTTTTTAAAAAGACATTTTAAAGATCTTTTAAATGTAATACTATCTTAAATTACATCTTATTTTATCCTTTATTTCAAATGTAATACTAGGAAATATTTTAATAATCTATAATTAAATTGCTGTTCCACTTCTTTAGAAAAATACATAAAGGAGCCTTGACAAAAATAGAAAAAAAAAATCCAATAAAAGAGAATACATGTAACTCAGGATTGAACTGTGGAGTCCTCAGTGCTTTCAGAGCTTGGTTGTTTGCTTGCAGACGTTTCATTACCCAGCTAGGTAACGTCATCAGTGCTGGTAAGTGTGGGGTTTGTTCCCTGTTTATATACAGCAGCTTGCCCTGCCAGTGTTGGGGGTGTGTGGTTTTCTCCTTGGTAGTTTCTTGATCAGGGTATTGTTTTCTGCTTGATTGTTTGTCTGGTGTTAATCCCTGCTTATCTGGGTTTCAGCTGCTGGAAAGGCTGCATTCTAGTCTTTTTAGTTCCTTTTTAGCTTTTTTATTGTCTCTTTTCAATAGTGTGTAAATGTGGGTTATCTCTATGTGTCTACTGATGGCTGATTTATCTGACTGCCAAGCTTCCAGGCATTTCCTAGCATTTTTGGATTTAGCTTGGTCTAGGAAGTTCACAGTTTCCCAGTTGAAACGATGGTTGAGTCTGTTCATGCGTTGTGAGATTAAGGAGTTTTCATCATGTTGTCTGACTGGTAGTCGGTGTTCATGGATGCACTCTGCGAGTCTTCTGCCTGTTTTGTATGTTGTAGATGACGCCTGTTTTTCCTTCTTGGGCTACTGGGTCTTTTGGTTTATTTAAGGAGTTTTGGAGAGCTTTAGCTGGTTTGCGTGCTATGGTGATGCCGTGTGATTGTAATAATCTGTTGGTTGTTTCTGAGATGTTTTTGATGTATGGTAGTGTTATCTTTTTCATGGCTTGTGTTGGTTGTGCTGTAGTAGGTTGAGTGGTCAGGCACTTTTGGATAAAGTTGCATGGGTATCCATTTTGTTGGAAGATGTTGTATAGGTGGTCTGTTTCTTTTTTCTGGTGTTCTGAATTGCTGCAGTGTATTTGTACTTGTCTGAATAATATTCTTACACAGCTCACTCTTATGGGAGGTTGGGTTGTTGCTTTGGTAGTAGAGCACTTGGTAGTTGACTTGTTTTTTGATAGACTTGCATTTCTAATTTGCCATCATTTCCTCTGCTAATGAGGATATCTCAGAAACAACCAACAGACGATTAGCTTCCATCTACTCATCCATCTTAAAACTTATATTAATGTATGCACCCCTCTATACAATTCACTTCAGATTCAGCCCAATCCCTGAAATGCTGAGTAAGATATTATGTTAAAAACATGTTACTCAGCATTTCAGGCATTGGGCTGAATCTACCATATTCAATTCAATTCTGCATGTATTCTGCCAATTTATCCATCGTTTCAATCCAGGTAGACTCTAGGTTATTTACACATAGAAGTAACATATAAAACATCAATAATGCATAGTACATTAAATCATTAAAGTGATATACAACTAATATAGGTGCCACTGGCTCCACAGTTAGTCCCAGAAGGCCTGCTGGAAGGGCAAGGCCTTTACCAGCTTCCATGAAAGTGAGGGACATCCTTACTTCATGGAGGCAGGGTCTACCCCACACTTATTGTCAAGGGTTCTTTATACAGTATATGGCCCCTCTTTGCTGTTCTCCTCATTACGCTGTTCTACACTGTGCCACCCAAGGAGATCCAAAAATTAAATACAGACTGTGAAACCTTTCTAAGCAATAACTGAACTATCCATTGTTGAAAGGTAGTTCTTTTAGAAGCAAAACACAATATGGTTATTTTTCTGATTTTTTAAAAAAATAATCTTAAAATATTTGGGAATGAATAAGAACCAACAATTCAATGTTCGGTAAACCTGGTTAAAGACAGGGAAAGTCATCCACCTATTTCAGCTCAGTGTGTGAAAATGGTAGTCAATGTTCCCTGAAAATAAGAGTTTGTCCTGAGGTGTTAAATGCTACTTCTCACCAGGTAGCAGCCAATTGATACTATATATTCACCACAAAAAAATGAATGAAAAGAAATGATTCTTTTGAAAGTTCACTGTGGGAAAAATCATCAGTCTAACATTTGCTATCCGGTCTCTAAAATGCTTTCCAAGTCTGGAAAGTCTGAAGCTTGTTTGAAAAATTTGCTAAACTGATTAATCATCCAGATCTGTTTTCTGATAACAACGGATATCTGCTTTATTGTAATTAAAACCCTTTCCTAAGACAGAAGGTTAATTAGGAAAAGCAACAGATACAAGAGGCTGTGAAGATCTTTGAAGCACACTTCACCTCAGTGAAGTTTAGAGTGAAGTGCCCCCTGTCAAAGCAAAGTGGCCCCCATTTGTTTGCTGTGTCTTTCTTCTGAGGCCTTCTCTAGCAATTCCAATAGCCTTGAGAAAATCTACTGTTACCACATGTTACTTACTTACTTACTTATTTATTTATTTATCATATTTATATAGCCGTCCATCTCATACAAGGTGACTCTGGGCGGCGTACAACAATTAAAAAATTAAAAAATAAATATGTAGGCACATACAACCTTCTTTCATTTATTTATGTATATTTCATCTTGAGGAGTCAGGAGATATGAAAATGTACATGGGGATGTTGGTTGACAAATGAATATTTAACTTGCAGAATAAAGCAATGCAGAAACCAGAACACCTAAGTATATTAAACTGGCTTTTTGGTAATTATTTATATATTTGACTGGTAATCTATGTCTTCCATGTGCCAGTTCTAGTGTTACAACTTCTGTATATTAACAAAATGTATGGTAGTTACTTGGTAAAATGATAACATCGTCATCAGCTGATGGTATAGTTTTATTGTAGCCACCCCAGCCTTTTGTCACATCATTCCAAGATTCAGCAAGGGACCATCTGAAAATAGGAGGAGAAAAAGAGGGAACTGGATCTAGAAAAAAAAAAAAAAGGATGTATTTTTGCAAAAATAATATATATATTTATATATATATATAAACTGGTAAGGATTTTGCAAGGATAACTAAGATGTTTGGGAAAAGATGTTTATCCTCCTCAAAATGACAATTAATATTTTAAACATTTGTTTCTAAGTGGATATGCACTTTTCAGTAGAGATTGGCTACAAGTTCTACATGTATGATTGTTCTTCTATTTTTTTGCCTGCCCCTGGAGCCTCTCCCAAGAAAACTGGGCCAGAGGATACCCAGCATTCTGAGATTGTAAGAAATACAAAAATAGTGGCAGAGGGAAAAGGAGAATGATTCCTTTCCCACTCTATTTATCAGCAATTTCATCAGCAGGGTGGATTAAATGGATGTCTAACATTAATTAAAAGATGATGAAAACTATCATCAAAATTGTAGATTATTTTCATAGGCATGCCTCTCTTCATCTAATTAGCTGTTTCCCCATCTCTAGTCTCCCAACCATTTTTTCTCAACAAGAAAAAAAGCCAAGTAAATAATAAAGATTATCTTAAAGAGCAAAATATTTAGATTGCATGCAAATGAAGCTTAGAATATTTCAATTAACAGAGGAGTTAATTACTTAATTACTTAATTGCAGTATCATTGTTTCTTCAGAATTTTCTAAAGCACACTTTTATCATCTTTCAGTTCATTTTTTAAAAATTATATTTCTACATTGCTTCCTATTTACCACCCAGAGGTCCACTGGCAGTTGGATGGTTATATTAAATGCATCCATAAATAAACAAACCAAGACAAACAATATCCGGTTGTTGGGAAGGGAGAACAAAAATAGGGGGGTCCAGAACTACCGATTACCATTTACCAGAGAGCTGATTAAATAAAAGTTATTTTCAGGAATAGACATAGGATAGATGTGATGCAGTCATGCATAGGGATGGCAAGCACTAGATACGGCTCTTGTATACATTTTCTGCACAGAGAAAGCACCGTTCAGAAATGCCCCAAAATTTATTTCAGTACCCAGAAATGCACCCTGTGGGTTAGGGTGAATTGTGCTGAGTAAAACAAGATTGCATTTTCAAACTGAATTCACATACCTGCCTCTGGGAAAGGGAATGTGTCTTCGATTTTGATTGTCACCTGGATTAGGCCCTTTCCTGTAACTAAATTTAGAAAGCTGGTGAGACATAAAAATGGTGTATAAAAGCTAAAAAATTCTTCTAATCCCAGAAAACAAAGTTCCCCCAACTGTGAAGGAATGTCATGTTTTGAACTATTCATAATATTATGGGCATGGTATGAATCCACACAGTTTTCAGTAAATACACCTTATACGAAAAGCTGAGAACAATCAGATGCTCAGCTAAAAGGTGTTAAGAAAGAGCTGTTTCTTATAGGTAATCCCTGGGAAAGGGTAGGTTAAGTCTTCACAATGCTGTCCTTGTGAAATCAGGCAAAATGGTTCCTTTATTATCAAAGCTCTTTTTATCATATTTTGTTGTTAATGTGACTCAAAATGTGGTTGAAGGATGCTATTTAAAATAGATAAAACAAGGTTTTAGTGTTTAGCTAGATAGATGTGCTCTTTTTCAAGATATTCCGTTCCTGCCTTTTTTCTTTTTCCTCCATTCAGACAATCCATATACTCAAGCATTTAAAATTTTTGCTATTTAGGATCCCCCCCCTCCCTTAATTATATAAATGTGTCTTTGTGTTTTACTTCTGCAAAACTTTGCAGTTTCCAAAAGGTGTTGTCTGTTAATTGCACAATTTCAGTTAGTAACAATCTGAAATATGACTTACTGGTAATAAATTTAGTAAATATAAATAGGCTATATGTTCCTTTGGATTTAATCCTATGTGACTGTCAATTCAGTTCTGTCTGCATCATATTTAGTTTGATCCTAATCAATCCTCCACTTGACAGTAAGCTTCTTCAAAGAATGCTTTGGCTCTGAATATTTACAAGAAAGTTAGTAATCTACTCCAAGATACTTTAAAATAATAAATAATAATAATAATCGTACATCTGTAAAGAATAAAGTATAGCATTTGTAGAATCATAATTGGAAGATGCCACTTAGGCCAAGTGCCTGCGACGTGTAGGAATCGAAATTAAAACATGGTAAAGTATGAATGTACACATAAAAGAGGTTAAGATTTGCCTAGGAGGTCTCAAGTGTGAGAAGTTGTACTCTAGAGCATTTGGAGGGTTCTTGAACATACTGCAATAGCAATTGTGCACAATGTTACTATATTCATATAGAGTTTTCCTTAACTAACCTAATGTTTTAACTTTGATTAAATTAGCATCTATATGAATTAGTAATAGAAATTACCATTACTAAGTAATACAGGTCATTATTTTACAGTTAGGTAACTCAACAATTCTAGGTCTTGTATCTATCTTGAATCTATGTCTTTTAATTTTGTTTCCTCGTACCCTGTGCAATTTATTTAGCTACTTTTTTACTTCCATATCTTTTGTAATGGAACTGTGCTTAAACTTGGTCACTAAATGTAAAAAAGGCTGTTGACGCATAATTAAAACAGGCTTTTTTTGAAGAAGGAGAAGAGAAGATGATCTCCACTGAGGATTCTGAAAACTACAATATTTTGCTACACAGACTGTCCCGGCGGCAGCTTCAAAGGCTTTTCCTGATCTCTTGAACTTGCATGCACAGCAAAACTTCCACCAGGATTTCCACTAAAGTCAAGCAGGGGGTTTGAGGGGGCACCCCTCCAAAGGATTTGCAGAGCTTTAATAATTAGTTCCGCTATTGCGCTGGTCTTAAGTATTAGGAAGTATTGAAGAATATGATAGCCAAGGTGATGTAGCAGTGAAGGTATTGGATTGGCACCAGGGAGCCCCAGATCCAGTTTCAAGTCAAGCTTTAAGCCCCAAGGTTCCCAGAGTGGCTTCAGGCTAGTCACTCCCTCTCAGCTCAACCCACCTCCCCAGGATGTTTTTGTGGGGAAAAACATGAGAGGAAGGAGCATTGCATATACTGCCTTGAGCTCCAAAAGGAAAAGTGGGATGTAAATATTAAAAAATGCATATTTCTTAACTTTCAAGCACATCTGCAAATTAAAGGCATGGTTTTGTGACCTGCAGTCTGAGACAATAGCCTACATCTGCTTCTTTTGGCACCTTTCAGATACTTGAATGGTGTGGTCACATCCCCTCTCAGTCATTTTTTCTCAAAGTTAAATGTACCATATTACTTCAAACTCTCCTTATATGGCTCAGTTTCCATTTTTCTGCTCATCCTCTTTGTCCTTCTGTGCCTTTGTTTCAAAATTGGACAGGTCAGCTTCTTTGACCCTGGCACATATATTCCCTCCTAGTCTATGGGATGGAAGCTATCTATCAACACAATCCTACTGAGAGTTTTGTAGAATCCCCTTTGAAATGATGTATGTCAATAAACTAATAGATTTTATATACATCTCTGTGTGCTTTATTTAACTGTTATTGTATACGAGTTTCATAATGTTATCCATAACTCAGTATAATATTTTCTGAATGACCAAGGCAAATTCAGAAAGTCATTTCAGTGCACGATGAATGAGATCAGCCAGATTATTCTATATATCAGTTTTGGTGTTGTTTTTTGTTTTGTAAACTTGCTCTTCAAACCTGACTATATGTGCAATTCCTCGTAGAGCAACTAAGGATGGAAAACTATAAAGCCTCTAAGTTAAAGATGAACAGTTCCTGCTGTGTCTCCATGATGTCTTCCTTCAGACGCTCAGCTTTCAGAATAACAATGACTTTTTCTTTAACTGTGAGATTCAGTCTGAAGCAAATGCTGTGTGAATTTCAGAGCCTGCCTGTGAATGATCTGGCATCTGATCCGTATTTATCGACATTAAATTTAGGGTTTAATGCACTCCTGCCACTATTCAACAATTCACCCTAAAAGGCTTTTAACTGGCACAAAAGAAGGAGGTCATAAGTAAATTGACCTCGGACAGAATGTACAATTATTAGAGAAGACTCGGACAACAGCAGCTGCCGGAGCCCCACTGGCAAAGCGAAGTATTTCCAAAAGTCTGGTTATTAAGAATACACTCAGGTTTCCCCTCTCTACCACCTCGACAAGGTCCCTTTGGTTCCCCTAAGAAGAATTATCGCCCTCCCTAGCAGCTGCAATAATTGTGTTCCTATTGTTGCACAGACCTCCTCCCGACCACCCCCTACAAGTGTCCATTGTTGAGACAGAGTCAAGTGATTAGATACTCTGGCGGATACGGTTAGGGCCCAGCTGCCTAACTGCTGACACACGAGCACCAAGGGGCGGGGGGTGGGGGGAGACCCACGTCTGCAAGACGGGACTCTAACATGCCAGACCTTTTACATAAGTCAAACAGAAACAAATGATGCTTTCTGGGTCCTGCTGATGGAGCAACCTCTCCTCCTTTGAAGTGGTGAGGGCTGGTAGGCTTTTACAGCTTTTCCTCTTCAACCCGAGCAAACATCCTTCTTTTGATATGAGACATGCTCATTATCTCTGCCCCATTTAATGATTTTTGATTGAAAGGTGGCAGCTCAGTTGTCAAGAGGATAGTTAAAGAGGCTCCACAGAGTCAGACCTACAATAAAGGCCTCTCTTATGCAGTGGCCTATATTTGGAATTTCTTAACAGCGTGTTCTTGTTCTCGGCCGCAGATAGGGGCTGAGCGTGAAATTCTTAATTAAGCAGTAAATAGTGTATGGGGTGTCAGCAGATGCAACCTGTAGCCATGGAGACCGAGTCACATGAACATGAGAATAGACACTAAACTAGAAGCCTTAGGCCTGGAAGTGAGTGACAGCTGAAGAATCCTACAAAGGTTGTAAATGGGATTAATTAGCTGACTTTTTTTTTTTCCGGACTATTACCGCAATTTAAAAATAAAGACAATTTCTGATTTTATTTTAAAGGATACTGAAAAGATTAAAACACAGATGGTCCTTTCTTAGAAAGATCTTAGGTTATTAAACTCAGAAGGAACAGAGCTGAGCTCACACTGTCCACCTTTTCTTTCAGCAGGGAAAGCACTTCATGATTCAGACAGTGACATATTGTTACTGATAAATGCGAAGAGGCCAAAAATGTAGGTTAGGTGAAACAGTTGTCGAGTTTTCGTTTGTTTGCAATAACTTTTGTTATTTCTGCAGTAAGACTCCAAAGTTCTTTAAGAGAAAGAACTATGTAACAAAATCATTTTCTCTTTCATACACAGGACAGAGACTAAAGCCCACTTCAGACTTCACTTGAGTTAGAACAAAGTGCTTTTATGCAATGCTGTTCATGTGAAGGAGCTTCCACATCACTAGTCCAATTTTAGTCATGCCATGTACTGCATTCTTTTTCAACTAATATTTACTGCACTGGTAAAAATTGGCCCAAATAACTTAGGGATTCAGTTCCACCACAATTTCCCATATAAAATTACTTATTGTTATGTGCTCCCTGTTTCTTCAAAAACTGAGGCTTGCTGGAAGCACTAAGAGATTTTAATTCTGGGAAAAAGTTCACTTTCCTATAGCAGGTGGCAAACCTAACATCCCAAAAGCAATTTTCAGAGAGAGTGCTTGAACTCCAAATTGCTTCCCAAAGGAGAGAACTCCTACATCATCATGGTTCATATGTGATGTCCATCACCAATTCCAACATCTGGGTACAGTTGTTCCTTCTCAATGAGCATTGTTATCAGCTACAATTTTGAACAGCAAGGTCTTACCTAAATAAGTTAACTTTTTCGTGTTCTGGTTGAAAAACCAGTCGCAACCGTTGTGATATCTATGGGAAGGAAAGGCCTGGAGTAGTGACCCTTGCCTTTTTCCACAGAGCACTGTAACTTGAACGTGGGAGGGCAATCCTTCATGCTCCAACAATAAGTAATTGCCAGCAGTGAAGTTATCAAATGTAGCTATATACTATGGAGTAGAACACAAGAAACACGCAAACACTTAAAATATATTCCCTTCCTGAATTATATCTGGACTGCAGTAAAGTACATTAATGGTTATGTAAGACAGAAGGAGGAAGAGACACAGTAGTTTTTCAGCAGTTTCATAAATGCTTGTTGTCACACAGGCTTTCACCTCTATCCCTCCCCAATTTATGAACAATGATCTTTAGATCTGGTTATTCGTTGGCTACTGAGAAATCAGTAATCATTTCAAGAGCAGGGTCTTGCCAATAAAAGCAACATATAATGCAGAGTTGCCCATTATGTTTCCATGCTAACTTATAGATCTGAAATTGTCTTTCCCATTATAAAATATTCATTCTGACCTGTGAATGACCCAGATCATATGCACACACTAGGAATCCTATCCCTTGTACCTAATCCTTCCATTAGATTAAAATGAAATTGTATGTTATTTTAGCTCTGGAATTCCTTTTCTATTTTCTACAACAATATGATACTGTAACAGTTGATGAATTAAACAAACCTTCATTACCTGCAGATTTCCTTGAAGCAGAGGACTGCTGAATGACAAAGTGTAAATTTGCTGATCCAAAAGAAGAATCATCCAGCCATTGGCATTTGATAAAGTGTCAGACACATAATTGACAGTGGTCACTTTATTGCAACTATCAGTTACTGTTAAATTAGAAGGAAAGATTGGGGACTTTCTGTGGGGAAAAGAAACACAAAGATTTTCTAAATAATATTCACTGTGATACTTGCTGCTGCTATGTTGGTGAGCATGTTGGCCCACTATTGCCCTTCCAAATATTTAGATTTACACTAGCAAGCTCAGATAGCATAAAATATTAACATATCCCATTTCCCCAAATCTAAGTCACATCAAAAATGTTCAAGTGGACAACTTGGATATGCTCAAGTGAATCCTTAACCAACAAAACCAGATAAAGTCCTTTTTATTCAACTTCTTGTTTTAGGAATTATAAGCTCCATGCGGTTGGAGGTAATAATAAATCTATCATTCTCAGTTTCACTCATTTTCTCAGTTTCCCACCAATGTTTTGGCTTTTTCTGCATGAGAAGAAACATCAGAATATACTCTGTATATTTCTAATGTATACATTTTATAGGACTTCTCTTGGTGAGTGCATTTGCAGCAAATCATAATATACACATGTATTTTCAAATTGCCATTCTGAAAAGTGCAGATTTTGGTAAGCAACACATTTAGTTTTGAGAGGCCCAAATTGGATAAATGCATTAAAATCAGAGTAAAAGAATTTTACTTCCATCCCTGTTATCTGATAAAGACTTCCAAGAGAATGGGGATGACATGGATAGGCAGAGTAAGAAGCTTGAAAGACAACAAATATATTCCATCCTTTTAAAATGTCCAGGTTAATCATGAGCTGACTATTATATTGTCTTTCCAAACAATGGTTTTACTTCATACTGTCAAGCTAGCCCCAAAATAGAACTACTATATTGCTAACATAATTGAGCATTCCTGCAACCATAATTAGCACCATTTTAATTTGCTCTAAATAGCCAGTGATTTTCACTGTGCCCTAAATAGCCACCAATCTACCTCTCTTTAATGTTAATGGAGCAGAGGAGGGCATGAGCATTTGTAATGCGGAGGAGCTGAGGGAGTCTGCATGGATCATTAATGGGAAAGTGTTTCATTACCAAAGTAGGAGGCATCTCTCTAAGATCTGCTCTCGCCTTTCTGCAGAAGAAACCAGGAGGAGGTAACAACCGTCGCAATGTGAAATTAACCCTTGGCTCAAACTGCCAGGAGCCTTTCGAGAGGGTTAAAAAGGAAAGAAAAACCTGGATGACTGATTGGCAGTGCTGTATTTTTATATCCAAGGAAGTTTCAATTAAGAAGCAATTTGCTACAGAAATCTGGCATGACTAGTAGATAGAACTTTACAGTCTGCGTTACAATTTACCATCATGGTTGTTTAAGCTGTTATGTAATTTAGCTCAAGTGTAGTGTGCAGAACTGTTGAACATAAATGGCTCACAAAGGGTTTGCTAAACCAATCAACAACTATGAGTAGAATAAATATTAAGTCTCCTGTTTATGTTTACCATTAGCTTACTTATCCTAAGGGGGTTCCACCCTCCCTTCCTCCCTTTGTATTAAGGCAAACACTGCGTTTAGCATTAAATGCTTTCTGTTTGTTACCTTTGTGAAATAATCTGCTACAATGATATAACTCAAGAAAATAAAGCAACAATAAAATTGACTTAGAATGAGGCCGATGGTACAAGCATCAATATTGCAATCTACTCTTTCAGAAATAGAAATTTAATAGCATAGTAGTGCTTCACCCATGAGTGTCCAAGTTGCGGTTTGCTTAAGGCCTTTCCCCACTGATGATCTGAAGTACTATTCTCCCATCCTTCAGTTGGCATAAAACAATACCGGCATGAAACAATAGTCCCATTGCCAATCCCTACTCTGTCTCTTTTGTCTCTGTTCCCAAACACTGCAGTCACCTGAATTCCCCTCAGGGTAATGCTTGGCAAAACCTAGCAGATTTTCACACACTGAGGCCATGCGTGGACTATTATAAAGAATAAAGAGGGGAAAGTGTAGTTTAACAGCTGTCCACTAAGGAGAACTTAAGCCTACCTCATTTAGACACTGGAGATGAGTTGAAGGTAAGGTCATAGACATAAGGCAGAAAAAAGATGTGGCCGGGGCAGACTAGTTCGGAAGTTATGTGTAAATAGTGAAAGCATGACTGCAATTTATATATGCTATTCGTAAGTTTAAAAATTAAGTCCAATCATTTATTCAAAGATGCTTATTCACCCAATTTTTAAAATCTATGAAAAACATCTAAGCTTCACTTCTGAGGGGCCACCTATTAGAATGTTCTGGTTTTAGGGCATAGCCTAGAACCTTCACCTCTGCTTTAAACAGATAACATCAATAGATCTGTATCCCTAACATAGTCTTAATCCTTTTAAATATTCAGATTTTTTTCCCTAAAAAATACATGTTCCTGCAACTAAACTATATGTAATTTGTGGATGTACCTGTCCCCTTCATATATTTTACTCACTACAATGAAATTATTTTTAAGGTATTGGATGTCTTTTAATGCATTGTCTTTTCAGGATTGTCCAAATCAATATCACACCAGCAACTTATTTTTGCAATCAGTTATCTTGTTAAAGTATGACTTCCTGAATTTTGTTCATCTATACTTGAGGGGAAAAAAAAAACTTACAGGCCAATAGACATACGATGAAAAGTAACATTTTCAAAACAACAACTGGCATTGATAGCTTGACTAGCATTGGCAATTGTCCTACAGGAATCTGGAAGTATATCCAAAGAAGGAAGAAGCTGACTCCCCTGTTGTCCTGTGACGGAGCCATCCAGATCTTTGAGGATGGCACAATGAGGGAATGGAAATGATATCCAGTTTGGGGCATTGAGGAAGAGCACTTGTTCTGTTCTTACAGTAAAGCCACCTGAAAAAGAAGAAGAGGAACATACTACATATAGGACAATTAGGGAAGATACAAAGTCCCATCAGATGAAAATTGAGATATTTCAAACATTTAGAATAAGGAGTTGTTGTTATTGTTGATCAAGTCAACTCCCAACCAAGTCCCTGCAGCTTTCTTGACAACATCCTCTTCTTCCTACATCTCAGAGAGAGTGATTGGCCCCACATCACCCAGCTGGCTTTTGTGCCCAGGGGCAAAGTAGAGGCTCACCATGGTAAATATTGCTTATGATTATACTGTTTGCTTTTCATGGATGTAAAATGCAAAAAATAAAAATCAAATGGGAATAAGGAATTGTGGATTATACTTTTTAAAGTAAAGAAAACAAACAAACAGATTCTTGTAGAAGCATCCAAAAAATCTACCATTCTTAATGCATTTCCACAGTCTTTCTGCCATGTTTCTATTGCCTATTTTCACACATTGCCATTAGCCAAAATATGTGAATGGCCAGCTTTTAGAATGCATATTTTAGCCAACAAAATAAGTTAAGCAAGAGGAAAACCACTGGGACTGGAGAGGAGACACTAATGTTTCCTCTGCTCCCCATGGTAGACCTTATAAGCAGGTATTTGCATCCATCGGCACTAATTTCATGCCTTGGTTATTCCTGGCTCCATATAGATTTTACAAATAGTGTACATTCTAATAATGGATGGTTGCTATTATTAATATTATATCCACCTTAGCCTCTGATGTTCATTTTCAAGAAGGCAGTCTTCTTCTCCCACCCCAGCCCCAAGCTTTTTAAAGAAAAAATACAATTCTCAAGGGAAGAAAGAGTAAGAATTGCCATGAGCATGGGCAGGGTGTGAAAACTAGGCTTTTGTGAGGCAGCTGAACTTTACCTGACAAGGTGCTTTGTGTTCCTATCCCCATTCATCCCACAAGGTCCTTTGTGCTTCTGGCACTTCCTCTGGCCAGAAGAGTCTTCTGAGCATGCCTCAGAAGCCACATGAAAGCGGCATTTTCCGCTTTAGAAGTGAAGGCTTGCATTGCTTCACAAAACATCTTCAAAAGGGTGCTTTGCTCAGGGCCCTGTTGTAGCTTTCCAAGCTTTGCTTAGCCATAATGGAAGCCAGCTAAGGAGTGAGCATTTTAATGTGCAAGGATGGGTTTCCTAAGCTGCTCTGCAATTACATTCAGTTGCCTTTGAGCACAGAGCTGGAGCCCAACAGGAGATGGGAAAATATCATAATTCCAGATACAAAGGATTGGATTTTGGAGATGTACGATTTAGCAATTTTTGAGAAAATTATATATTCTGTTAATCAGAAAATGTCACATTATCTCTCCCTTTGGAAAAAATTCTTGGATAGGCTGGGTGAACTTTGAAAATTTGGTTTTCCTCTTTAAAAACTTACAAAATCAGGTGATCTTGGGATGTAGTTGAAATTACAGATTGTTGTTGTTTTCCCTTTTTATGTGTTTACTCATTGTATAATTTTTTTTCCTTTCTCTTTGGTGATTGTTCATTTTTATTTTATGAATGTTCGTTTGATAATGTGTGTGTCATATATATGACAAATGACTCACTGGGACTCATATCTTAGAACAACATACTTTATGTGCAGTCAGAGCACAAATATTACATATAACATAGACTCCTTTTTGAATAAAACAGTGATAATGAGAGGGGTGTATGTAGATATGACTGGGATAAATTGTAAAGGTGATAAGGAAATATGAGTTGACCTTTTGATTTCAGTTATTTTGTCATGGATATTTCTATTCATTTTTTTCCCCATAGTGATATAGTCTTATGGCTAAACAATAAAGAGGTTTTTTTATTATTATTATTGCGGGGGTGGAAATTCGAGATTCTTTGGGTACTGGAAATGAAATCTGTATCCTTTTCCTTGCTAAAATGAATCAGGTTGATAGAGGTGTTTGTGCCTGGCTGTAAAGCAAAGCAAAACTTACATATATTTACCATATAATAAGCCTCTTTGGTTCAAAAGCTCTCATCCAAAGGAAGTATTATACTTAGAATTTCCATTTTTATTTAGTCAGTCTATTAGCTCAACTTTCCTCTAGTTGCCCCCTGTGTACAGAAGGTGAATTTATGCAGCGTGGGACTTCCTCTGTCTACTGTGGCTCTCCACATGATGGAATATGCTAATATTCCAGACTTCATTCATGTAAAGAGCATTCATGGATAAAGGAGGCTCTTCACTGCAGACATTCGTCCTTTACACATGGAAGGTAACAAGAGAAAACAGAGTCTGCATGCTTGATCCTGTTCCCCCTTGAAGTGACATCAACTCCATGGCTACCTCCATTACCACATTCTCAGCAAATGTCCTGTTTGAAAAATATGCATTCCCTTTGGATAATATGTACATAGCTAAATTGATTCTTTATTTTCTATGAATTGCTGTGAGCATAAATTACTTGTAGAAAATCTGCTTTAGTGCTTTTCATACTCAGTTCCTCCCATCACAACCATATTCAGTACCAAAAATCCAACTTACCCTGACCTTGGTAACAGCCAGAACAGGTAGTAATTGCAGTGCAGTTGTGACTGTCAAAGTTCATAAAGGTTGTATGTGATATCAACAGTTCACGCTTTTGAGGAGTTTTCAGCCCTGTCAACATACAGCTTCCATCCTGCTACAAGAATGTAGAAATTGGCACCACATTTGAAAAGAACAGTTGTGTAAAATTAAGTTGTGCATTAGCAGGAATTCATATGATAATACAGTTTATGCTTAAACTAGTTTAAGACAGCAATTGATCCATCAGGCTGGATATACTGTAGATCTGCCTTTGTCATACAAAAATTGGGACATGGGTGTAAGAGTGAAGGTTGCATTTAGTTCAATGCCACCAAGTCTAAGTTTGCTCTGGAGACTGCATGAATAAATGCTTGCCATTTTAATCTAAATTTAGTAATAACGTGGAGTCTTCCAGTAATCTCATGGTTCTTGTCCATCCACTGTCTCTGTTACTTTCCCATTCTTCTACTTACCTTAAACTCACCATCATTTCTTTTAGTCCACCACAAACTCATATTACAAGACCACACTTCCCTGCTAGGCACTTTTTATTTATTTGTTTATTTGTTTATTTTATTTTATTTTATTTTATTTTATTATTTATTTATTATTTAATTTATATGCCACCCAACTCCCAACAATTCTGGGTGGCTCGCAAGTAAAAATACAATCAGAAAGAAAAATAAGAAGTAAAAGATAGCAAGATGACAGAAACTAGACAGGAATTTAAAAAAAAATCCATGCGGCCTTCACTCAGCCTTGCTAAAAGCCTAGGAGAAGAGCCAGGTCTTCTTGGCTCTTCTAAATAACAGCAGAATGGGGGCCATCCTGATTTCAGGGGGGACCTCATTCCAGAGGGCAGGCACTGCTACAGAGGAGGTATGCTTCTAGGGTCCTGAGAGATGGCATTGTTTAATTGAAGGAACCCAGAGTGTGCCAACCCTGTCAGATCGAACTAGATACTATGGGAGATAGACAGTCCCCCAGGTAACCAGGCCCTAGGCCATGAAGGGCTTTATAGGTAACTACACCTTGAATTGCACACAGAAGCAAACCGACAGCCAGTACATCTCTCAAAGCAGAAGTGTTACACGTGCATACCAAAGCATGCCCATCACTGACCGTTCTGCTGCATTCTGGACCAGCTGAAGCTTTTGGGTGGTCATCAAGGGCAGCCCCACATAGAGCACATTGCAGTAGTCAAGCTGTGAAGTGACCAGTGTGTGAATCACTGTCTAAAGGGCCTCCTGATCAGGGTCTTGTCCTCTGGCTCTCTGTATCCATGATAGATATTTTGTTTTAAAGCTCTCAGTGTTTTGCCACAGCTTATCTTTGTGGTGGTCAGAAAATGAAAGATGTGCAAATATCAAAAGTTATATTTTTTAAAAAATTAGAACTCTAGAAATTACAACTACTTTTAAATTACTAATAGTTATTTAGGAGAAGTACACACACGACTCACATTTAAATTCTACCTATTTTTTCCGGTTAACTTGCAGTGGGTGCTGAATCAATGCAAAAAGCAGGATTTTAAAAGAAAAAAATAATAATTGGTTAAAAGCATATTTTAAACATAAAAGGGCTGGCTGAATGGAAGGTTTAGCTTTCTTGTTAAATTAATGTCATAAAGTTTTAATTGATGTTAAAGAGACATCATTATTAAAGGCTAGAATTACAGAAATTAATATGCAAATTATGACAAGAAGACTCTTTATCATGAGATAATCAAAGATAATCACCCCCCTGGGGTGCTGTAAGAAACAAGGCACAGCTGAGTGCCTCAAAATCTTTTAACAAGTAGTATGGGAGAACTCAAGAGCTTTGTACCCTGAGACAGCAGAACTAAAAGACAATATTTTATCAGTGCTATAGAAGTTAGCTGCACTCTAATCCTCCACCTAACTCCCATTCTTTTTTCTCCTGGTTCTCCCTTTGTTCTTCACACTTACAGTAATCAAAATTTAGTCCCTCCTATTCCTATCACTAAAACTTATTTCAAGATTAATTTTTAACACCCATCACACTCCTTTTAAGTTCCATTTTCCCAACCTGCCTTTACCCACACACAAACAACCCCACCTCCCTTGGCTTGCAATGACTGGAATGAAGGATGGTCCAATGTTTGTCTGCCTGTCTGTCCATCCGTCCATCCATCCATCCATCCATCCATCCATCCATCCATCCATCCACATCTCATATTTTGGCATGGTGCAAATCCTGGAATATGTACAGAACTACTTTGAAGATGGCCTGGCATGTGGAATCCTGGTGTTCCAAGAGAAAGATGCATGCCTCTAGATTTCCCTTTCCTGGGCTATTTTTTCCACATCCTTGCCAAGCCAGCATTGGTCAGTAAAAGCGGAAGACAGGGTGGCAAGTGGAAGAGGCAGTTGTCCTGCTTTCTCATTAATTTGCTGAAATACCACTTGCTTTTGACATTTCTTTCAAAGGAGAAAAGTCTCACAATTGTTTAGTTCCAAATTGGCCAAGCATACCGTGCATCTCACTGCATAATTATGTTGCCCGCAATCTACTGTTTCTTTCATTTCCCAAGGGAAGGCTTCATGAGGGAACTCATCCCATCTGGCTTCTTCAGACTGGCAACTGTGGACAGCTAGGGAAGCTTCAATTCAATGGGGAGTTGTATAACAGAAACCCGCACTAGAGCCCTCTGCCAGCTCCAGTATGAACTATACTCAGAAACACTATGAAGAGAAATTTGAAATACATTTCTGTATGAGAGTAAGATAGAATAAGAAGCCTTTTTTTGCAAGAAAAATAAAGTTCTGACAAATTAGGTAGGGAATATCAATGAAATATTTTCCACTTTAAATTTTGGTCCATGCTGGAGCAAAATTTTGGAGCGTAGTAGTGCTCATTGTAGAGGACTAATGAGCATTATAATCAAGACACATTCCTATTCTGAACCAGAAGCACATCCTCCCAATTCCACAAGTTTAAACTGTTTATTTTATGTTCTTTGCTGAATTGAAAATCTAGACTTAGTAAATGCTTGCTGAGTACTGGTGTTTTAAACTGTTATGCAGCAAAGTTGTTCTTTTATTATTTTCTTGGACATTCTCTTGAAAAAGACATTGGTGCACGTTTTTATCTCAGATAAATTGCAGAAGGAGTTTGGTGAATAATTCTGTTGTTTCACAAAATTATTTCTTAGGAATAAGTCCTATTGAAGTAGTCCCTTACTTTTACCTTGAATAAAATATATTTGATGGTATTGGGCAAGACAGACAGACTCACAGACATTTGCTATACTTCATGTTTTTAAAAATTGCATGAAATAGCATGCTAAGCATATTGCATCTTTAAGCTCTCACATATAATGGGATGTTCTGTACAAGTATTTATGTTTGCATAGACATATAGCTGCAACTCCCAGAAGATATTATAGAAGCTGCCAGTACTGTAACAGGAAAAGCGGCAGCCATTTTGAATGAGTGCAAACATTGTGAATTTTCCAAAATTCAGGAAGTTCCACAGAAAAAGATTTCCCAGAGAAAACAAAATGGTGTTGTCTCTAACTGTTCAGTAATGCAGCGTGATAAAGTAGAGTTTCTGTGGATATGGGCTTAAATGTGTTCATCTGAATGTGCCTTCAGTTTTTATTTAGATCTTTATGCTAAGCATTTGAAGACCTTTCTTTACTGTTCAGGTTGAGGATCAAGTATGCACTCTACAACCCCAAATTATCTTTAGCCCTCTGAGTTATATTGAATTATACTTGCTGTTTTTCTCAGACTGACTTGAAACATTACCTGTGTCAGTATCTTCAACGAAACCACCTCAGTATTTTCCAGAGAAGCTGTGTTTTTAATTCTGCGTTCTTAGCTTTTTAACTCTGGTTCTTTGAAAAATTTGTGACCTCATACCTTTTTATGGAAGTGGCCAATTAGTACACTGTGGGCAACAGAAGTGTTTCCAAGACTTTCCACAATGTTGATTCCAAAATCTTTGCAGGAAGCGATGTGGAAGTTCCAAAGCTGAAGGTTGCTGGTGCTAACAATCTGGTAGAATAATTTTTAAAATAACATATTAGCATTGATTAAATGTATTATAATGCTAACTACAAAGTCTCTCATCAGCACAAAAGAAAGTAATAAATAAAGAAGGCAAACCTATGCTTCTGCTTTATAAGATAAATCGACTTTTTAAGAAATCATCTAAAATAATGCAAACTCTATTGACTTAGCTTTGCTGCATGTTAGCAGATGACAAAAATTAAAGACTAATATTCCACAAGGTTTGCTGCAAAGGCACCTGCTATCAGTGTTACTATGTTTTCTCTTCTAACCATAATAATATGCTCCAGGATATATAAAACGAACACATAAAGGAATTATTTGCACACATTTCATATCACAAAAATAACTTGCAGCACTATTTCAACTACAGCAATATGATGCAAATAATATACAATTTTACCACTGTCCCCTTCTTTCTATCTTTCCTTTTATCTTTTTCTAAGTTGTTTCTAAACTGCCTATTTAAAATGTTTTCTTATAAATAGGAAGACTGAATTTTCAATTACTTCACTCAAGACTAAGATAGCAATAACAGTCATGTAAGTTATTCCTGGGGAGTTTCCTTTCAAATAGGGATATTACCTAAGAAATTATGATTAGTAAATTATTTTTGTAACCAATAAAATTAATTATAAATTATTAAAGACATTAAATGGGATCAGTGGGAATCATGCACAGGAAGGGCAAGGAAGGAAGGGAATGTATAGTACCTTAACTCCACCTTTGCACTTCCAGGCACTAAACTTTTGGAATATAACAGGTTCTGTATTGCTTCCCCTTTGAGGGTGATATGCTGGATGTATTAGGAGTCCATACCTGTTTATAGCAAAGTAAATAATGATTTCATAAATAGCAAAAAAAAACCCAAAACTAGGCAAATTCCTATCAGATTGGTGCATTTGTTTTAACAATTTGCATTATTTATTTGATTTCTATCCCATCATTTATAGAAGAGCTCAAGATGTTAGACGTAGTGCTCATTCTTCCTATTTTTCACCACAACAACCCTGTAAGTTAAGCCGGGCTGAGAGATTTTTCATGACTGAGAGCGGACTAGAATCTGGGTGTCCTGCTCCCAGATCGATAACTGAACCACTAATCCACTCTAGTGCTCATTTGGTAATTTATTGATTCTAGTACAGCAAATGAAGTCTGTGGTGTGTATTCATAGGGGTCAGCTGGTGAAACTGAATAAATAAATAAACAGAAAAGGCACTAAGAGGTGGCTTTGCCTTTCTTTATTGAAGGTACTTTCAGGGTAGATAGTTAAGCAGAAGCATTTGATCGTATGCAGCATCCAACAGATTGTGGCAGAAAAAGTGATTCAGCATTTCTGGAGTAAGCAACTTGACGAAGATTCTGCAAGCAAAGAGACAAGCGAGAAACTGAACAGTAACTTGATTTTAAAACAAAAATTACTATCCTACACTACTGGTTAAGGTGTTAGATTAAGACCACTGGGAGTGACGGAAGGCAGCACTATGTCTAACGCCTGGAGCTCTGGAGGAAAGGTGGGATATAACATAAATACATAAGTACATTTATGATATGTATTTTAGAAGGCCGTTGAAGGTGCATGCTTAACCGACACAAGAAATGCAACACCTGCAATCCACTTCCAACCACTAAACAGATTCAGCCTCAAGAAGACAAAATCCTGGCCTACCTGGTCTGTCTCCAAAATTACAATGATTCCCAAAGATAGTTCTTCAGTTCAGATTATTATGGCTTCTGTTCTGAACCTGGCTGATGATGAAAATTTCTACAAGAATATGCCAAGATTTTTTGTGTATGTGTACCTTCAAGTCAGTTTTTGACTCCTGGCAACTGCCTGGACTAGCCCCTGCAGTTTTCTTGGCAAGGTTTTTCAGAAGTGGCTTGCCATTGCCTGCTTCCTAGGGCCGAGGGAGAGTGACTGGCCCAGGGTCACCCAGTTGGCTTTGTGCCTAAAGTGGGACTACAACTCACGGTCTCCCAATTTCTAGCCTGATGCCTGAACCACTACACCAAACTGGCTCTGTATGCCAAGTTTTACATTCCAAATATAATATTTTACAAAAAAAAAAAAAAGGATCAGAATGCAGTAACATGAGAAATATATGTTGATTCCACATCTCTGCAATGAATGAAACATAACAGATGAAAATATGACAGAATGGTTTAGAACAGGGAAGTCTATATGTAATTGAAATTGAAATGGACTCTGTTTACATAGTCTATGAGAAATGGACCATAGCATATCAATATGTTTTCATCCTGATGGAGGAAGGCCCTATTAAACATCAGAGTAAGCATTAAACACATTTTCCCCCAATTAATTATTGCAGATTTGCTGTGTATGTTTCTGTTGTGTATCTGTTAGCATGCATGAAATAAACTGTCAATGACAAAATAAAATAGGCAGAAAAGAAAAAAATACCTAGAGCAGGAATATGCTACATTATTACTGAAGGACATCACTGGTTCTCCTAATCTTGAACGGGGAAGGTGAAAAAAGTAACCATGTCCAGTACCACACACTGTGTTACTCTGCAGAGGAAATAGGAGTTATTAGGACATCTGACCCATCTCAACTAAGCTCATAGAACACTGAAAGATTTGTACCTACAAGCCAGGACATTTTATCATCGCTAATGGCATCTTAATGTCTCTATCAAAGTATTTTTGAAATCCACGAAGGTTAAGATAATGATCTCTCTGATAGTTGAGAGGACACATATAAACATGCCCAGTCCCCAGCTATTCCAAACACTGACATCAAATCTTGGATTTCAGATTAAGTCCTTTTCATTCATGATTTAGGTCATAAATGCAAACAATGTATGCATACCAACAGAATGGAGACAAAAAAGATAATTGTCTGCCCCAGTTCTTTAATAAGTATAAATCTTATCCATGAACAATTAAAGATAGGCAGAAGAGAAAAGCAGTAGCTATCCAGGAAAAGAAAAATCCATCCAACTTCTTTCTGTTGGAAAATGACAGGGAATGCTACAGGACTTCCGGGTGCTTAGGGGAACCATGACAGCCTTTTCACATTCTCCTCTTAGATAATATACCTATTGTATAATACCTCATAGCCTATATGCCTGAGACTAAAAGCATTTCCACACAAGGATTTGCCATCATTCCTATGGAAGCCCTGCACCACTGAGTTCCCACCTAGCATCCGTGCTGGGCAGCAAAGCCTCTTTTCTTCTGAATACATTGCCCAAAATCTCAAATAGCAACATTTAAGCTTTGCTATTTGAGCAGCTGGACTTCCCTGGGTCTGGGCTTAAGTATGCCACATGGACAGGACCAAGGTTGCATACAGCCTTATTGTCCAGCTGGCAGGAACACATTTTGTTCTTGTGAATACCAGCAATGGCTGTGATGTAGGAAAACTGTGGGTCATCTTCTGATTGGATCAGAGGATTTGGGGAGGAACTGGGGAGTGGAATCAGTGGGTGTGTAGAAATGCTCACAGTACCCTGATGAACAACGGTTGTATGCTTAACTGGGCTGGATTACAGGGAAAAAAATAAATGTGACTCTGTACATTTGACTAGTGACTAGTACAACCTCTGCTCCACAGGACAGTCTATAACACAGAGGTCCTGTGAGTATGTATCATTTTTAAAAGCCCCATGTAAAAGATTTCCCAAATCTATCTGTTTCATTTTCCATAACATTCCCATTTCATTCTCAAACAAACTTTTGTTCCATCCTATTTCTGTAACCCTTTGAATAATTTTTCATAATAGGTACTTCCTCTATTATAGCTGCTTCTTCCAGGGCCTCAAAGTAGCTTCCTTCCCTCACTTTTTAACATCAGAACTACCCTGTGATATAGTTAGGCTGGCTGCGGTTGGCCCCAAATCACTCAGTCAGCACCATGGTCACATGGGAATTTGAACACAGAATTTCCCTAATCTTAATCACTTACACTACTGCTATTTTTCTTACTATACACACTTTTGTATGCTTTGGGGAAAATAACTGAGTTCTGATTCACATTATAGATCAGGAATGATAATTAAGGTCAGTTCATCTTAAAATACAAACCAAATGGATTCTGTTTTGGACTTACCTGAATATATACTACAAGAAAAACAATAAGAAAAATAAAAATACTGTAACCATCATAACAATCCCACTATTTGGTGAGCATCTGTCAGCCTACAGCATCTCATTAGTAGCAATATACTTTCTTTCCAGTGTATCTATTTGAAATAAAACTATTTCATTACCAAAACAAGATTTAAAATTAGGAGAATATAAGAGAGAAGGCAATTAACCAGAATGAGAGTATTGCCTAGACATTCAGCGCTATAAAATCACAATCTGATCCAGATGTGCTCACTGGTGTCATTTGAAATGCTTGCTAGGTGGTTATTTCCCCAAAGGGATCACAAACACGACAACCAACTCACTTGCCAGAGGTCACTGGATGGATGGCTTTAAGAACGCTAGTTGTGACCTAGATCAAAGAGAATCCCTAGAATCAGTAGCCTAAGAAAGAAAGGCCCCAGATCCTATTTCCAGGTTTGTGACTTATCCAGGTTTCTCACTGTCATGATGTATGACATTTTTCATTTGGGTCACAGAACAATGAAATAAGAGTAGTACCTAAAGCACAAGTCTAGGCACCTTGTTACAGAAATATAGCTTGGCATATCATAGTGCCCATAGCACAGTTAATATAGAGCTTCTGTTGTCAACTCATATTATGTCATTGGATATTTACCTAAAATGCCAGTAATACAGTCCACAAATTATTTTTAACCTGGGGAGGGGAGGGAAGCCTGTATATTTATGTAGAGAACTAGTAGCTTGACAGCAGCAGTTTTAGGCAAGTAGAAAATTTTATGTGGAAATCAATTCTTTAGGGAACTTTATTTTATGGATTTCCCTGCAGCTAAATTTTCACAGAAATGCCTTTCTACATGAATATCTGATAGCACTGGAGTACAACCAAATTACATTTTATTCATAATATTGGCACTCTACAAACTTGCTTAATGCATTGTTGAAAACTAAGCATTCATCTCTATTTGTTTCCTCCTCTCCTTTCCAAGGGAGAGTTGCTTGAAAACTGAAACATACGCAGGCATATTTGCAGACTATTTAATCAAGGTTCATGGTGAAAAGTCCAAAATTTTGTTGGGAACCCATTTATATGCATTGATGCTAGAAGATGCTAAGAAATGGCCTGTCCTGTACAGAAAGATGTGCTGGCAAAAGAACATGAGATAGTAAACTTGTGTCTCCAGGATTCTGCCACTTCAGACTGCAGGTGGAAGCTCATGTGCTCTACAAACATTACAAAATCTGAAGGTCAGAGACTAAGCTAGAAAACTGTCATTTAGCTTTCAGCATTTAAGCTTTCATATCTTTTGGATATACAAGTAGTCACCAGTTTAAGAACGAGTTCCATTCCCCAGGTCTGTCCTTAAGTCGAATTTGTACAGAAGTCGGAACGGTATTGTATCATACTGTATAAGTAGTATCATGTAATGAACTCAAACCATTGTGTATTTAACTCGAATCACTGTATATGTAACTTGAGTCATTGTGTATTTCACTCAGATTTTGCTACAATAGGCTCCATTCTGAACTATGGTCCTTAAACCAAGCGTTCTTAACCCGGGGATTACCTGTAATCCAAGTATAGTTCAACTACGTTACCTGCAGCCTATGAAATTAAGTCTTTTGAGAGGGAATGCTGAAATATGGATAATGATCACAGGAGCCAGTTCCACAAGCATTTCCACAGAGGCATTTGAAAACTGCTTCACCCCCATCCTCTTCTTCCTCTCATGGGCAAGGCAAAAGAACCTTCTGCTATATCTCCCAACTGGGATTGTGTAGGATAGCTCCTGAATGAGCTATTTGGCTCAGGGCACAATCTTTACACCAGATAAAACCTGCAGGGTAAGGAGTCAGGCTGCTCCTGGAGGACAAAACAGATTTCTTCAAAGAGAAAAACATGAGGGCAAGAGCTCCTCCACGTACAGATTGGTGGCATTGGGCAGAAGGAGGGTAGATTATGTCACGAAGAGATATCAGCTGAATTCTGCTCCCGTGTCTTGATCAACCAGGCCAAGCTGACATGTAGGACAAGGCTCTGCAGCCAATCCAGTTCTCCAAAGTTGCCTTAGACAGAAGCCATTTAAAGCAGCAATTTAATTCTAGCCAAACTTTTTCATAAAGGTATTAAAACACAAATCTGTTTGGTGCTCAGTTTGACTTATAACGTTTTAAATGATCATACTCAAACAGAAGAACTGCATAGATTTTTTTCCCCCCCTCTTTCATGTTAATAACACTCAGGATCATCTATGAAACTGGTTGGAGATAGATAATGAGAGCTGAAGTTGCATGAGGACTAAAGTACTACTTTTACTGGAGAATGGGAAGGCTGAGATTTTGCATTCTGCTCATCCTTGTGACACTGAGCTGATGATTTTGACACACTACCACTCCCTCTACACAAGATCATGTTGAGACCACATAGGGACGGGAGTAAGAGAAACATATACCAGCCTCTCTTTGGAGACCCAAGGTAATAGCAGCAGTAATACTACTAGCATATTATAGAACAGATTAAAAAGCTGGTTTTATCATAATTAATGCTTGGAATCTGCTGTCACAAGCTATGATAATAGCCACTAGTTTTAAGGACTGAAAAGGAGATTTGATGGATTTGTAGAGGTGGAGAATAGTTCCAGTGATGCTTCTTTGTCATGATGACAATATAAAACCTCCATGCTGGAAACCACTATAAAAAGTGGCTGTAGCCTTTGGACTTCCCAGAACATCTGATTTGCAATAAACAATGAAATGAGCTTTAATTTAATCTACAAATTCAACTGTTAGGGAGAGGAAGCCTCAAGAAAACAGAGCACAGTATCACTTATTTTTGCTTTTCTATATGTGCAAAAGTATTGTCTTTGTATCTTACCTCTATCAAATTATCAGGAGCCTGGATATATATTCCAGCTGGTGATAGAATTTCAGTATTGGAAAGGCCATCAGTGCCCACTAGCCCAATAATTGTATTATGACGTATTTTATTATTTTGACCTCGCCGCTCTCCTAAAAATATGATTGCAAATTAGTAATTTATTGCATAGAAGACTATCTATCTATCTATCTATCTATCTATCTATCTATCTATCTATCTATCTAATGCACATGCGCGCACACACACACAAACATACAAAATTGTTCATGGTCCCAGCTGCTACTGATTTAGATTTAATGAAGTGAAGGAGGAATGGACTGTTCTGAGGAGAGTAGCAGATAAGCTCAAGTCCCAATAGCAGCTGCATAGCTGTCAATCTGCTTGGTAAATAATTGCTTGGTAAATAATTTTTAAAAAGAAAAAAAAAACTTTGCTGCAGGGAACCAAAAGTTAATGTGTGTGAGTGAGTTGTAGTTAGAGATCAAACTGATGACTTGGACCAATATGTGGAGTACTTTATTCTGCAGCCTGGTAAAGCAAAGAGGGCTGTGTATGTTTCCATAAGTACTACTGTGCTTTACACACGTGCTCCTAAAGTTGCTGAGGCTATATAAATGCAAAGACTAATAACATGCTGTTGATCTGGTTGATTGATTTAGTTTATGTTCAAGTGCACTCTGTGCATGCTCTTCTGCTTTGTTGATGTGAGCTTTGTGGTGCATTTGCAAATATCAAGACCCTATTCAACAGTCTTTAGTAAGTCTTTGTTCTTTTGCTTGTTGTGTGGTGCTCTTCTGGTTAACTGCTGTTGACGTAGATCTGGTTATTGTGTGCAAACATTTTTGTCCTGATCAGAATTCTTCTTTAGATGATTCTGCTCTACTGGAGCATTACTGTCTTATCAAAATCATCATATTCTATATATTTATGAAAGTGTTACTATAAGCAGCCAGCAGCAGTGCTTATCTTTAATAACTGTTGAAAGCAGAAGAACAACAGATCCCAGAGGAATGGGAACATAGTCAGTAAATTAAACGTGAGCTAGAGTGTTGCTTAAGTGTTCCTACTCAAGAAGGTTGATTACACAAATTCACTTTCCTTTGGGGTTTTTCCTCATCCCCCTAACTGCAGCATGAATATGCCCTGGTAACATTTTTTTGTCGTATCTTTCATCTTATCCCCAGCTTATACTTGAAGCAGCTTATAGTTATCTTTGGCTGTTCCAGCTTTAAAGTAGGAGTTTCCCTGTTGTCTGGATATAATTTTCATTGTGGATATGATCAGTATGCCCTGCTGATGATGTGGTTGCTGATTTAGTTGGGGGTTTCATATGTCCAGTTCTTCATGGCCCGTTTAGGCATCTGCAGGGACATTCCCTCCCCTCTGGTTGCTGGAAACAGCTCTTCATAGCATTTGTGTCTTGAGCTGCAGGAGAGACCAGACAACTGGCTTCAGCAGAAGCATCAGCCTACATAATGCCCAACCAATGCATTTGAAAATACTCTTCAGGTCCTTGATAAACCAAGACCTGTTTGTTGTTGTTTTTAAGCAGGTGTAGTGTTTTCTTGAGAGAATGCTAGTCCTCTGCTGCACAAAAGGTTGACTGAAACTAGGAAAAAGAGCCAGCATATGCCCCCTCTACATTCCTAGCTCTGCCATCATTGACTGCATTTCACGTTTTTGCTGCTGCTGAGAGATGTACGTTTTATTGGTTTTCTTACTTCGGTGCAGGGACAGTGCTATTTTGGCTACTTTGTTATGGCTTTGGCAGTATTTGGTGAGAATATTATGGTGATGATTGTTGTTACTGCAGATCAGCCAGTCACAACTGTGTGTCTTCCATGGCTCTCCACTGGCTACGTCTGGGTGCCACCAGCTGTCAGGTCAGAACTAGGCTCCTCGGTTGCTCACTACACTGCCCTTCTTTTGCAGCAGTACTGGAGGATGGCACTCACTCATTATCATTGCTTCCTGTGACCTGTGAGATGGGTTACTTTGGGACATGGGATAAGCTTGTATTCAGAAGAGGAGGGGTTGCAACAAGCAGGCACATCAGAGGTTCTCCATCCATGCATTCCTCCACTCCTGCAACATGCTTGTTGGACAGCTAGACAGATGGCTAAACCTGCCATACTAAACTCCTGCCTACACTTGTCCAAAGCTGCCTGTCTCATATAGGACCTTCTCTGTGGTAACCCTTACTTTGTGGGGCTCTCTTCCCCTGAAAGATGTGCAGCCTGTGCTTCGTCAGCGTTCCGTAAACAAATTAAATCTATATTGTTTCAGGGAGCCCTTAGCACCCAGCTGGTTTCAATGAGGACTTCTATTTTCATTATTTAATGTGTGGTTTTATTGTTGTTTTCTTTATTTTTATGACATGCACCACCACAGGCCTTTAGGACTAGGAGGTAAGAAAAACACAAATAAATAAATAAATGGGAGGATGATTGGTGGCTGATTTCCCACCAGCAGGGGAAATGGGAGAGAAAATGAAGCCAGAGAATCTATTAATCCTTTTCTTTAACTTGGCCCTCAGTAGGTTCACAAGAACAGCACCTTTTATCAGTCATGTTACTGTTGCAGAATAGGGATTGGCCATGGGCACCACAATTTACACCAACATACTTTTCTTCCAGCTCAAAGATTAGTGAATAAAACTTTAATGCAGCCATCTGGAATAGCCCTTTGTCCAAAAAGCTGATGGCTGCCATATGTTTATGTTTGCTTTGTTGTTTGGATTGCCATCTTGTGATTATTTTGTAGTTGTTTTGGTTATTTTTTTTATATGTTGCTATTTTTTGTGAGCAGCCCAATGTCAGTTG